AACCCGCCTCAATGGCTGCTTCACCTCAACGCACATCACCAGACATGGGTGCGGAGTCGTTACGTCGCCAACTCCTACAGCAAGAGAATCTCGCCCACATGGAACGCGTCCAGCGCGAAAAGGAGAAGCGCGAGAGACATGAACGCGATAGGCAGGAACGCGAGGCTGCAAGAGCAAGAGCAAGAGAGCTTGAGCGCAGCGCGTCTGGTGGCGGGCAGGTTGGCAGCCTGAGAAGCATTGGCGGTAGCACTACCGGAGGAGCTTTAACCTGGGAGAGACGTGGGAGTCACAGCAATAGCAGACAGGTATTTGAGCTGCCTGCCGTGGAAGATGACGAGCCCACTATGAAGGCGACTAGTTATCCTGGACAGGAGTGGGTACCTCCCATGTGGGATGGTGACTGAGCCCCAGTCTTTAGCTCGCCCTTTTTCCTTGTGATCATCCCAAATTTGGTCCATTCGCGCTAATTCCCCCCGTTAATGTATTCGACGCGAAGTGATATGGTCGCACATTTCCTTCTGTGAATATCACACATCATTGCATCTTGGTTGATCTACGCGTTTTGAGCGAAATTCGGATACCCTCATCGTTTTTCCTGGTACACATTGGACAGTCTCGGTCTTCATCTTCTTTTCTTCGTCCAGCTTTGTTTTTACTTCTGTAAATTGTGGGTAATAGTAGATAAACTCTTTTACCTAGGGCAGTGCAGCGCCAGTTCCGCACTACACATCCCTTACAACATCGATTTAATTCACTATCTGCTCGGCAAGACAACGTATCCAGTTTCTTCCACAGTTCGGACCTGATGGGGAGTCAAACTCGTTGCCAACACCAAGATCTCTGTACCGTGGTCCTTAGGGGCCCACCTCTGACGGTGAGAGAAGAGCAGAATATTACCAATCCAGACACAAACATTTGCTCAATCGACAAAGACGTAAAAGCTGCAACACACCATCTCGAACGTTTCGAACTTCGCGATCCGGCCGGGTTTTAGAGAGGCAAACACTAGCGGCGCCCAAACACTGTTAACGCATACCTACCTCAAACTTTTCACTCGTGTCTGGACAACGCTATGCGGGTATTGTGTGCGACGTCGTCTATACCAAGGGAAATTAAATCCCCTTCGCCCACTACCGATGGAGCCTTTTCCGCCGACGCTTGATCTTTCTAACGGTACAACTCACTCCTCTTTTCATCAGTCATTCTGCTCAACTCCGATAAACCACCCGTACGAGAACCTCTAGAAATAGCAGGCATAAATCATTCAATTAGAACGCCACAATGTTCCGCAAGATATTCTCTGTACGAACAATGCGTCAACGCATAACACCTAGCGCCCAACCCATGTCGCGATTTGACAGTCTCCGTCCAAATACTCTCGACGCTGTTGAAGCTTCAAACGCCGAAACCGAAGAAGGTTTCGGCTTCATAGTCGCCTACTCAACTTTCCACCCGTGCTCAACGCGTCCCCTTTCTTTTCCGCTATGCAGCGGGATGGTAACGACAATGCCTACAGTATTGGAATCCACGTCTCAAAAAAATGACATGAAGGAGACTATGAAGGATAGTAAGAGAGAGAAAGAGGAGGGTGTGGAGGAAGTAGCCTTTAAACCATGGCCATACTCCCTCCCGTCATGGCTTCGACCAAAAGCTAGTACAACCTTTTCACTCATGAGCGACAGGACCCTTCCGATTTCTGCTGTAGTAGATTCTGAGCGCACAGGCGTTCTACAGTTCATTCTCTACGGTGTCCCGAATCCAGAACGCTTCTCTTACAGCCAGGAACTAGTGGCGCCGGGTAGTCTTTTGCATAAGGTTCTCCATGGGATCAAGGAGATGGATGAGTGTGAGGGTACTGTTGCTAGTGTCACCGTTGTCGAAAGTGAGAACGTAGACTTGGGCGAGGAGAAAATCAAGAAGGAAGAAGATGAGGCCATAGTGGTGAAGGGTATGCAGAGCAAGGTTACAGTGGAAGATGTGCTGGAGAAGAATAATCATATGGGGCATGGGATGATAGCGAAGCAGCGCTTAGCTCCTTCTCAGAATTTAACTTTTGATAAGCACAGTGCATGTAAATAAGGATGAGGACGAATACTTGCAGCCTAGAGCTGACATAAAGCTCAGATCGAATCTAAGCAACGTTCGTTACACCATGTGTCTACTGACTTGTATGTGTGCAAAGAAAAGTGACTAGGCAGCAGTTTTCCTGCTCCTAAACAATAAGTGTACGACACATTACACTAAGTTTTTAAACAATGTATCAGATAGCCATGAACGTTAAGATAAAATTCCTATTCTTAGCGCATGCGTCTTTCGCTTAATATGTGTTAATTTCCTTCTATTCTAAGTTATATAGAGTGTGATACTAGTTCTAGTTAGAACTATTATGTTTGCTCTATACAAGTATCTGTCGTAGACACGATGGCTTCTTTCTTATTCTATCTTTTGTGACACTAGTTTACCTACCAACCTCAATTATCCTAAAGACATACAGATATTATGCAAGAGACTGACAAGCTCTCGGCTTCACTCACAGAAGGCACGGCTTAGCTGCATTAAGTCGGAGTCGGTCTCTGCAACTTTGTTATCTCTCGCGCGTTAATCTTCCCTTCTAATAGAAGCTAACGTGAACACTAACATTTAAATTAAGAGCACTAATTTTCACCCTGCTACTCTCCAGTGCCGAAGAACTTAGAAAAGGCGCAGGAGACCGACGACCGCTGCTTACTCCGGAAGCGATAAACCCAGCATGTCTCCGAAGCTCCGTCAACTCGCGCCCAACCCTGTCCCTGCCAGTGTTCGTTATGTGCTAGCCAACTCTACTCCACCAAGCCAAAATGTTTCAATCCAACCCGACAACACTGCTATTGCGTCTGATACAGGCCCATCGAGCAAGACTGCCGAGAGACCCTCCATTTTACGCAAGAGGTCCACATACAAACCCATGTCCAAAACTCGCAAATGAAGAAATGTGGCAAAAGATGCCCCCACAACACGTGAGTCGTCGGATAGTCCAGTTTGGCAATTGGAACGGTGACAGCCGGAGCAGTGAAAGACATGGAACCACACAAAGCGATGGATGAACTACTGAGCTAGTTTGACGAGCATCAGCTGGGTTGGCACCGACATAGCGGTTCGTATGGATTGGCTAGCATGCCCTACATTGAGAGGGGACTGCCAGTGACATGGGCATGTGTGAAAATTGCGAAGAGAAAACAGCAGATGAGGGACGGCGACCTCTAGGGAGGTGATTAGAAGCACGACTGGTATAGAGAGAATTCATCGGAAAACATGAAGTCTACGACCGGAGGGGAAGCTACACAGTGGATGGAGCCGAATATGGGTTGAGCTGATGTGTGTTTGCGTAAAGATGACGTGCAAAAATGGGGCTATGAAGGTTTTTTTTCTGGGGCAGCCTTTCTCTCTGGTTTCTTATGCTCAGTGTCGTAGATGATGACACCAAGAATACCAGCATTGACGAGGAAAAAGAGTATGCTCGAAGCCCAGAGTCCGGGAACAAAGGTCGAACAACCGTTGAACTCAAGTTGAAAGCCCTGCTGGAGCCAGGCAACTTGGCCCACAAGCCAGAGCAGAAGTGCTGTGATCCCAATGGGCGCTGAATGCAGGAGAGTCGAATCTGGAAGGTAGTATGGGAGAAACATCATGTACCAGAGGAAGTACTCGACAGAGTTAGTATTCATGCAAGACCGACAATCCATCGTATCGCTTACCTGGCTTGTGCAGACCTTGTTGAAGGTAACGAAGGCAAACGTCTGGGCTAACATCGTGTTCGGAAGATCCTTCTTCGCTAGCGCTAGTGGTATAAAGAAAGCACTGAGAAGCAGTTGCGGAAGGAATGCCAAACGCTCCAGTCCGGAAGATAATGTGGTCGGCTCCAAGTTCGTAGGCGTTGGGGACGATTTCAGGTAGAGGAGCGTATTATAAGGCGAAAAGTTGTGGCGGTGGTCCGTACGAGTCAGATGGTAAAAGTAACTGTGCTCGAGGAATGGCCATCCGTAAACCTTGTACATAAGCAGGTTCAAGCTCGCAAACGCAAGGAGACTGTAGAGTGCGAAATATATTCTCATGGGATTGAGAAAGTTGCGCGTTCTCTCAAGCAAGGAAGTCGATGGTTGCTGTCGGATATCTGCCCTTGTTGCGACTTGCGTGTCATCGAGGAACCAGACAATAGAGGCTGCGTAGATGAACGGGTAGATTTTGAAGTGCACTGCGAACCCGAGCAAGAACCCAGTAAGTGCTCTTTGCTTTGCCAACACCGCCCAAAGCAATGCAGTCACGAATACTCCAAGCAGTCCCTCAGAGCTACCTCTTGTACTGATAGTGGCCACCATTGGATTCAGCAGCCAAATGCTGGCAAATTTGAGGGCTCGCTCATTGCTCATCTTCTTGTACTGTTTCAAAATACGAAACATCATCCAACCTGTAGCGACATCGCCGATGGCGAACAGGACCTTTCCGAAAGAAAACCAGAATTGCCCAGACCATACAGTAGGGTAGATGAGCCACGCCAGGAGGGGCGTATAACGATACGTGTCCCGTGCGTAAGGGGATTGGCCGCGCGAGATGTAGCGCGCAGCATCCGTGAAGACATAATAGTCAATGTCGGTGTATTTCATAGGTGAATTCGCATCCTGCCAGAGTCCATATAACAGGAAGACAACTCTTAGGACGATTGACGTTGTGAAGACCAGTGGTGGACTGCGAAAGAAAAAGAAAAGAGCCATGTTGTCTCCGGCATTACAAAAGCCAAGTTGACCAGACAAGACGCTGAAAAAAGCGAACCCGATGATAGGAGGATCGGAACTGATTTCGCTGGGTGGTGTGTTGATGAAACCCTACAGGATGGACTCTCCAGGAGTGAGAGCAGCCGAAAGCGCCTTAGTCCGTAAACGCGATAGCGTCCACGTGAGGACGTGCACTAGCGGACAATCCCAGCGTTTGCCTGACGTTGAGTATAAGCTCACCATCCACGCAGATTCATGGGCCTCAAACGACCGAGAGACGCAGCAATGGCGGACGAGAAGCCAGAGCAATCTCCATCGCCCTTTGTGTCGATGTTTGAAGGCTTCCGCGCAGAGCTGGATGAACACCATGATCGACGAGAGAGAATCATCAAGGCGTCGCGTGACATCACCGCGTCGAGCAAGAAGATGTACTAGGCAATGTTCGAGGTTCTTGTGGCCGATTGCTAACAACTGTGCAGCATCTTCACTCTCCAGAGGTAGGTCTTCATGATGGCCTTACCAAACACACACTGACCTGACAAGGGTCCGCGCTGTTGGCCAAGCAGTACCACCATGGGTCACCAAGAAGAATGCGGAATACTGGGAGACGATTGAAGATCGCTACAAGAACATCGCCGCCGACCTTCAAGGCCTGAATGCCTACCGCTACTCGCACAACATCACGGGCGGCAATCAAGAGTTCATGGAAGCGCTTAGCTTCCAGCATTACCTTGAAACACAATCACTGATCTCGTACAATGAAGCCAAGGCCCGTATCGCTGCTATGAGCGGCGAAGCTGGACCTATCTCCTTTACGCCAGAAGACTACATTCTCGGTGTCTGCGATATGACTGGCGAGCTGATGCGCTTCTCTGTCACGAGCATGGCGACAAACGGCAAACTTCCGTCTGGCAAGCAAGCAGAGGCGAACAAAAGGCTGAAGCAAGGCAATGGCCAAGACGATGCTGGCGACAAGATGGACATCGACGAGGAAGCATCAGTTGCGAATGAAAGCCAGAAGCCGCGGACTGTCTTGGATGACCTGAGGGCGATCCGGCTGCAGCTCGAGATGCTCGACGCACCGGGAGGGTCCAAGTTTGCAGCAGAGTTGGAGACGAAGAAGATGCCCGTGATGCGCGAGTGCGTGGACAAGGTAGAGAAGGGTCTCTATGGTTTGACTGTGCGTGGAAACGAGCGTCCCAAGGGCTGGATGCCAGATATGAGCAGTGCCAGGGAGGTAGAAAGTTACTGAGCCAGACTACCAAGGCGAATGAAATGCAAGATATCATTCCTGTGCAGTTGTTCCGGTGTGGCTGGGTGGGTGGCGTGGCGCACCCCACTTGGCGTGGGCATCATGGTGCGGTGATGCAGGCCCGAACTTCACACGCCCGTGTCGGTGACAGTGACACCAACGACTATGGTCCTCTGCACCATGCCCAAGACTGATGACCTCGCTCCCGCGCTTCGACTGGCCAGCGCAAATGTAATGCGCACACCCTGAAATCCTGCGTCGACACCCATGGCACGTACTGGCGCCCAACAACAAACCCGCACTTAGCCCTGCTCCAGCCGGAACCGTGGTTCACCAACCAAGCTGCCTACTACTCCCATCCGCGCACCGCCATAGCCGATCGCTACTACACCCTCACTACCCGCGGCTGCGAGGCACATCGGCGATAATCATGCGTCGCAGTACCTGCCCCTCGCGGCCTGGCAAGCCCGAGGCCGCCACGCGCGCACCCGAGCCACCGAAGCGCAAGGTATTCAACTGCATCGTCGACGATACCGCTCTGATCGCCGGCGTCAAGAAGAGCACCCGCGATGGCATCCGCAAGTGGATCGCCCAGGACGCTATACGTCTTTATGTCCCGCTGCACAGTAGGCCATAGCATCGCAGCTTCCCTGTCCCCTTGACTAACGCACAACAAGCCCTTACCCAGCTCCACCGCCTCAAGAACGGCACTGAGCGCATCCACGCCGACGCCCGCGAAGCCGTCAAGTGGCTCGACGAAGTCACGTCCAATGAAGCCGCGAGCCGTGTCCAGCTCGAAGGCGTCGACGAAGCCTACACGACGTGGGGAGAGGTGGAGCACTTCCTGCTACCCGACACATTGCTCTCCATGGAGGATAGCGAGTCGGACGAGGACGACTACCACGAGGATCTCGAAAGCTCCTTCAACGCCCTCGACATGTCCGATGGCACATCCATCAGCTCTACGCACAGCTTCGAGAACGTGTCCAAGACTCCCGAGTCGCCTGGTTCGCGTTCGAGCACGGCGTCCGGGCCTGTCGACGCCACCCCACACACAGACAAGGCAGCCACGCTACTCAGAGCGTCCCCCGACCGTACCGCACGCAGCAGTACCGACATGGCTCGCGCTGACAAGACGACCAAAGGCTCCGTGCCTGTCTATCTCCAGCCCCTCTTCAATCACATCATGTGGCGCATCAACAAGGAGGGCAATCCAGATGCGGCCCTGGAGTCCTTCATCCTCCTCACCAATGATTCTGCCAAGCAGGCCATCGCTCAGAAGTTCGGCATCCGTGCTAAACGCCTTGAGCAGCTCCGAGATGCTGTTGCTCGTGAAGACCGCGAATACAAGAACCATCTGACCATCCACAAGCTAGAGGTCGAAGCGACCGCTGCTAAGAGCGCCTCTCCAATCGCACCCAAAGCCGCAGAGCGACCCAAGTCCAGCCCCATCCACACGAACGTAAACGAGACTAAGCCCGAAGACATCTCCGATGACGAGGACGAGGTACTTTTCAAGCGCGCCCCTCGAGGCCCTGCCGCCACTACCGGCAACCAACACGTCTTCGACCCCAACGATTTTGCTCGCACAAACCAGCAACAGTCCCTTCGCGGTGGACGTGGAGCTCATGCGGCGCCCCGCGGTCGCGGTGGACCAGCCTTCCGGGGTCGTGGTAACTTTGCATCGCGCGGCGCATACGTTCCTCCAGGCCCAGTCTTCCGAGCTCCACCAGCTCCTCGACATGATCCGAATGCGCCTCTCGATCCAGACTCTTTCTCTCGCCCTGCCCCCAAAGTGGGCCCCGTTCGCGGCGGTGGACGGCGAAAGCTATGGGAGCCCAACTAGCAAACCGAAAGATGAGCGTCAGTAGCAACGCAGTAGTCGAAATTCACAACGCCGCCATCGAACGGAACGTTGAACACGATCAAGACACGAGCCATCAGTACACAAGGGGCTTCGAGCAGGATAGGACAGGTACTGGACAGTACGGTGACCTCGCGGCCCCTTAGTCTACATCACATCATGTCAACGCTGAGCAGAAAATGAGCGCAGGTCTTAGCAACTGGTCCAACGGAGCATCATGTCCCACATCCTTCCACTCACAGTCAACCCAGAGCTGTCGCTACATCTAACGACTTGACCGGGTCGACTACACTTTTCAAGGGCATACCTTCTTATTGGGTTTGTTCTCTACGAGCACTCTCTCCTTGTGTGGTTTTGCGCTCATTCTTGCTTTACAATAAAATTGCACAATTGCCTCGTTCGCTACATGGTCATGGTACTTCTGCCGCCCATTTACGGCTAAGAATGTTACCATCCACTTCGAACGAGGTTCTAATATATGCTTTACCGCCTTCTTGTACGCCTGTCTGTGAGACTGAACGATAGTCTGCCGTAGGAAGCGCGTGCGGGATAAGGGAAGAAACGCCATAGCTATGATCAACTAGGAATAAATGTTTTGTTCTTGGAGGTTTCCACTCGCATGATAGGCTTGATGTCTCTTCGTGAAGTATCGTCAGATTAACTATATAGACACGAAAGAAAGGGCCACACGCCTCGTTCTCTCCTGCAGTACCATATTAATGCGCAAGAGAACGTGCATACCTAGGTGCCACGGGCGGCTACGTTATTATCCAGTTTGCTGCCTGCTCTAAACCTGATGTATTACAGTCTGTCAAGTAGCAGCATAATTAGTATTTATGTAACGGTTCAGTTTCGTGCTTGCACAAAGGAACATGAACACATCAGTATCGAGAGAGCAGCATGTATTTGAAATTATACAAAGAAGAGATAGACACAAAACTCTCTCAAAAACAAGACAAATGGCTATTTTCGCCATTCAAACCCCTACTTCAATCAATTTACTCCCTCGTACCCCTTAGCAACCTTCCAAAAGCACTTTGCCTTTTCCTCTTCAGTTCGTTGAAGCTACCCTGTTCAACCACGCTTCCTTGATCCAACACAACAATGTGCTCAGCAATAGCCATCATCTCCCGCACATGCGTAATGATGATGACCGTCATCCGTTTCTTCGGTCTGTTGCCCTTATTACTACCACTACCCAGAGTCATCCGCTGCTTCAGGGGATATCCAACTTTGTAATCCCAATTCCCCTCTATCTCATCCCAAAACCAACCTGAACGGCTCCAGGGTGATATGGGTGGGGAATATGGTGGATCCAGTGTCTTCGATACCGTGAACGAGACTGAGGATGGTCTCGCGGATGATCTGAGCGGAAGTTACGTCTAGCGCGCTCGTTGCTTCGTCGAGGATACGCACATCGGGGTTTCTAACGGGGGCGCGTGCGATCGAGACGCGTTGAGCTTGGCCTCCGGATAGACATGTGCCGCCTTCGCCGATAGGCGTGTTGTAGCCTTGGGGCAGGCTGTCGATGAACTCAGCTATGTCAGCTGCGGAGGCGGCTGCGCGGATGCTTTTGATGCTTGTTTCGGGAAGGAAACGGGATAGGCCGTAGGCGATGTTTTCTGCGATAGTGCCGGGGAAGAGGACGGGCGTTCGTGATACTATGGCCATCCGGGAACGGAGGATGGTAGTATGCAAGGTCTTGATCTCGTAATTCGAGACGGTCATATCGCCTGACGGGTTGGAGGATGTGAGTGGGTTGTTTCCTATTTGGTAAAGCTTGAGGAGGAGAGAGGCAATTGTAGATTTGCCTGCCCCCGAGGATCCGACCATAGCGGTGCAGCTTCCTTGTCGAATTTGGAACGACACTTCATGCAGTACTCAAATCTTAGGCCGGGCTGGGTAAATGAAGGTGACCTTGTTTGCGAGATGTCATCTGCAAACTGTATCTGAATTTCGCCGGTGAGCTCGTGTGAGTCCTTTGGTAGTCGTGCGAGACGTAGTAATCGTGACCCAGCATCCCTTGCCATGTTGACCTGAGTGACGTAGTTCGCCATATAGCTAACTTGATTGACACTAAGCATGAGAACCAAGAAGCATTCCAACACTTCATCGGCAGTGTACTCATCTTTCGACATGAGATAACCTCCATACCAGTATAGCAGGATAGTTACGAAGATGGCTCCAGTGAATGAAAGTCCGTCAATGGATGCACAGTATATTGCGCGCTTGATGCCGACATTTACGGCTTCGGCAGTTGCGTTGGTATACATTTCCTTGAAGTAATCTTCCAAAACTAGGCATCGAACGGTCTTGATACTGACGAACGCGTCCTGGAGCACTTGACCAACCTTGTCAGCGGCCTCATTTTCCAATCTTTCCCAGCGGCTGCTGATAACGTTGTAGCACTTCGTGATTACGAAGAGAACAGGACCGGTTGCGAGAGCAGCTAGGGCCAACTGCCATGCTATGACCATGCTCCAAAAGATAGAAATACAAACCATAAGATTCATAGTGAGAAAGACACAAGCAAACCGGCCTGGACGATTTCGGGCCTCTTCAGCAGAGTGATCCAACATCTCGGCAAGCCGCGACACGCTGTTTTCTTCCTTGTCGAAGAACTTCCGTGGTTGCATCAGGATGCGCCGCATGGCTTCCTTCTTCAGCGAAAGAGTCCACGTCTGCGCTACTGTATCTGAGAGCAAGAAAATGAAGTAGCACGATAAACCATCGAGAGCGGCAATACCAAGAATGACGAGGGCGTATTTTTGGGACATTTCCTTCCTAGCGCCAGGCACGTAAAAAGTAGTCAAAAGCTGGGCGAAAACCCATGCAAATACTGGTTTGCATGCAGCATGAATCGTTGCGCTGAAGGATGCCGCTAGAATGAGGAGACGCGGACCCCAGACTATAGCGGGCCATACAGACATGACTATCTCTTTCATCGGAAGAGAAGCGGCCGGGAAATCCTTGTCTTCACTAGGGTTCTTGTTGCGGAAGCGTTCGATTCTCTGAAGAAGCTTATCGTTTCTCGAAGATTTCTTCGGTGCGTCCGAAAGAACTGGGACAGACTCATTGGTCGCAAAGGGTCGCGAGTACGGACCGATCGGCGAGACTGGTCGCGTAGATAGTTTAGGGTCTGAACGTGAGCTATGTTCTTTTGAAAACGACAGAGAGCGTCTGTGGAGATTCGACCTTGAAATAGGTCTCGAGCCATGGTTTTTCCATAAGATCCTTTTCTTGACAGGAGACGGCATAGACGGGAGATGTTTCGATGCCACAGAATCTGGAGATGCTTGATTCGTCTCAATGGGCTCCATCTTACCGCCTCTATCAGCCGTCTGTTCATGGATGGATAGCCTTGGGCCTGGGCCTACATCGACCGGTATAGTACAGCCCCAAGACGCGCAGGTATTCTCAGAATAGGACTCCAGCACTGACTGTCCAAAGTGAACAGCAGATAGCGGACGTGTCATAGAAATGATCCGGGCTGTCCGTGACTCCTCGTGTTCCACATTGCCGTCACCAGCTTCAGGCCCCCAATAGGAGTCGTCCTCATGATCATCAGACTCATCGTCTGTGTCAGCCTCGGTGTGCGTATCAAGACAAGACTGAAAGATCCATTTTGTGACTCGAGCTCTTTTCGACACCCCTGTTGTACTACCCGGGCGTTGTCCAGCAAGTACAGGAAGTCGTTGGGTCGGATCTGCAAGATGTCATGGGTAATGATAATCGTTGTCTTCCCTTTCCGCCAGCTTCGTATAGCGTCAAGCATCTCGGCTCGTGTAACGTAATCAAGAGAACTGGTTGATTCGTCCAGGATCAGCACCGGCGAGATCCCAATCCTAGCTTGAGCTAGAGCCATTCTTTGTCTCTGCCCTCCACTCAATGAGCCACCCTTCATGCCGAGTTCAGTATCCAGTCCATTGGGAAAGCTCTCCATAACAGGTTCTAGCATAGCAAACTTGACTGCATTGCGGATATCTTGCATATCCACTGCATCACCTAGCTGACCAAGAGCGAGATTGTGGCGGATAGTATCATTGAACAGCACGCTGTGCTGCTCAACAAGCATGACTTTCTGTCGTAACCATTTGACGTCCAAATCTTCGAGTGGAACGTCATCCAGGAATATCTGTCCTGAAGAAGGCCGATAGAAGCGGACGAGAAGTTGTGCTAGTGTGCTCTTTCCGGAACCCCTTTTGCCGACGACAAAGGTCGTCTCTCCAGCCCGGATTAGAAGCGAAGCATCTCGAATGACAGTCTCGTCTGCGCGTGAAGGATATGAGAATGTGACCTGGTAAATAGCTAGTAAGGAGCATCGACGCGGCGTGAGAAGCATTACCTTTCGAAACTCGAGCTGGCCCGTACATCTCTCAGGCCGCAGTTTGCCTTGCGATTCGAATTGCTGATCGCTAGTTGAAATCAACTTCATAAGCACACTTAATTTTGCACCGGCCATCTTTCCTTGCTGCAATACAATCAGCTGAGGCATTATCTGGGTCATCCCAGACATTGCCATAAGTGCTGCCCAGAACGTCATGAGGACCTGTTTTGGGTCACTTTCCCCGGTTTCGACGAGGTGACTACCATACCAGAATCTTTGAACAAAATCGCTGATCGTAAAAAATTGCATAATGCCGATCTGCATAGAGCGGAAATTGCCCACGCTTCTGTATAAGCTCGCGCAATCGTGACGATACTGGTAAAGACGTGGAGTTCGTATCTTTCCCCGGTGAAGCATTTAACCGTCTCAATACTTGTCATTGCAGTCGTAGTATATTTCAGTGCCGACTTCAAGTTCTCGGCATGCTCGTGTGCTCGTAGTGACAACCGCTTTGCCACTGAGGATTGAACCAAGTATAGAACTGGTATTGTACACAATACGACCAATGTTAGATTCCACGAATAGTAAAAAGCGACCCCCAAGGATCTTCTTTAGCGAACGTATTTCTACGGCGATTCCGATATTAGAGTGGCACCTACATCTGTACTATCGGCAGAAATGCGGCGATTCCATCCTCCCGCGTATCGATCCAAGCCATATCCTTTTTGATAAGAGCATCGAAGATTCTGTTGCGGGCACTCCTCGCCTGGAGCTCTCCGAACATGAGAAAGAAGAGATAGTAGAAACTATCGGCAATCCAGTTGAGTGTTGCGAGAGCGGTAAGAATTACGCAGAACCTGGCCATGTTGCTCATGAGTTGGCTGCTGCTTCTCGATCCTTCGCCATAGCTTGTGTATTGACCAGATACGAGACCGTAGAGGATTGCGAAAGCGGGCATGGACAGCGCAGCGACGGACGCCATCGCAATACCGCCAAGCAGTGCGGGCATATGCTGTTTTGTGGCGAAAGTGAACAACGTCCTCCATCCCACGTTCGTTATATAATCCTGATCCTCATCATTCAGAGACGGCGGCTTTTCGGAACGAGCGGTCGCGTTTGGATTAATCATCGTCACCATCTTGACCACTCGCCGGCAGCGACTGCGAAAAGAGAGTGTAAGGTGGTGGAATCGACAAAAGGTAAGAGCGACCCAAAGAGATGAAGTGAGAACAGAGAATAGGGAATTACCACATATGGACTAGTTTGTGGCGGCCATGTGGTCGTAGCCTTGGAAAGATGGTTTCCGCGCACTTGCTTTCGTCGCTTACTTTGTCTTTCCTTGACGTTGTTCTCCAGCCACCAATCGCCGCCTTCACGAAAAGCCCAAAAATTGCATCCACTCATGCGATCACTTTAAAACGAGATGAAACAGTGGCTTCCTCCGCGCAGATCATCAGCGGATGGTGAGCTGAGAGCGACACTCCCGATTCAGCGCTTTGTTGGTCTTGTAGTTGACATGCACAGTATAGGCCGGCAACTGACGAAGATTACATGTTCACCAATACGTCAATTACCAAGCCAATATGGTACTCCACCGATGATCCAGTGGCTTGCATGACAGATATTCATAGACGGTCATAGCTGGGCGGCCGACAAAGAACGTGAGCTCGTAAGCGACGAACAAGTGACGGGCCGGATGTCGGCAATGCAGCCGCGTATTGGCGTCCCTTGCGAACAATAACTTGGAATTTAGAATTTCCAGGATCATCCTGCGGCGAACTACTTGCCCTGCGCCTTCTCGTATATCCAGTCATTCAGGCCTTCTCGGTTACTGCGCATGTCAGCATTGGGCGCGCCGCTATATCCAGGGCGTAGCTTACCGTGCGATTTCAATAGCGTAGAACTGCATTCGAACAGCGAATATTGTGCCTTCCTGGCTGTATTCCATTTTGGGACTTGCGCGCAGCATTGTGCCGAAGTTGTAGTCCTCGACCTTCTTCTCGTACTCACTGATGAACTTGCGCCATCGCTCCTTCCCCTCCTTGCTCTTCATCTCATCCTCGTTTAGTGTGGCTGATGCGTCGAACTCGGGGAATTCCGTCTTGAGGTGTTCGTAGATTTCGTCGTCGATCTTGGTGAGTCGCAGCTTGGAGCCGGGTACTTTCTCGAGGATCTTCCAGTATGTTTCCATGTGCTGCACAACTGTGTGATACTGTCAGCATGGTCGCGACCGGCAGGTCTCGTGATCTGTACCTTTGACCGCGAACTGCTTCTCGATCTGTAGACGCTGTTAGCGATGACTGTCGACGCGCTGGCTTTGGGGTACCTGCATCCTCAAAGTTCTCAGTCTCCTCTGGATTGATGCTCGTGCCTAGTGGGCCTGCGAGAGACATGTTGGCGATTTTGCTAGGGAAATACTATCTATGGGTAGTTTGAAGTGAGAGTGTAGAGAGTGATGTGGGTGCTTGTAGCAGCAATCAGCGCGGTGAAGGTCGACAAAAAATCGCGGAAACGCACTCCGTCATTGCCCCGCCACGCCCGCCACACTTCGCGGGGCTGACTCAACCCCAATTTTCCCATCATGAACACCAACCTCACATATGATTCTGGCGAGCCAATGTTGCCAACTCTACACGTGAGTCTGCATCGCACCGAGCCAGACAGCAGCTAATCACCGCAGCATGAATGCATTCGCGTACCAGTGACAGCACTGGCCTCTTGCGGCGCTCTGCTGATCGCTGCAGAAGGCCCCTTTTTACGCTTCCACCATGCCAGCGACTCGCGGTACATCTCTTCGGAGCGCGTCTTCAAAGCTCAAGCAATCCATGGAATACGCGTCTTTTCGGAAGAGCATGCGCACGTTATCAAACTGGTCATCTGGGGTGGAAGACTGGTCCGCGCCCTCGAGATTGACTTTGCAGATCAAGTTGGCCAACAAGGCCTGAGCCTATGTTTCTCCAACGTCGCGAAAGCTTCAGATTGGATTCTTGATCTCGCTCCTCGTCCCAAAGGCCTGGATGACGATGCTCAGTACCACAAAGGATCCTGCATTGCTGTCACTGCTCATAACGCACTGCTGCACGTTGAGATGGAACAAAGGACGTCGGACGACTTCCACATGACCAAGTGCGCATACCACACATTGATCCGTTGGAGTATCATTTTCTTGCTGACATTTTGATTTCAGTTACATTGATGTAGCTGTATCTGAGCTTACTTCAAGTTCTCGATCTATCCTCTACTCCGCTCACCTGTTCTGGGAGAATCTAAACCAGGTCCTCGTTGCTGCTGGTACAGCGTTCGGTGAAATTATATACTGGTCATGGTCCGACAATGGCGGCGGTGGATCCGCCTCCCGTATTCATCGCGTCTTTTTGGGTCACGAGGGCTCAATTTTCGGGGTCCAGATTTCGGAAGAGCTACCCACCGAATGTTGTCAAAGACTGAGGCGGGTGGTAGCAAGCTGCAGCGATGACCGCACAATCCGAATATGGGACGTATCGGATGTGAACACTAGTGCCACTACCTCGGAAGCTCATAGCAATGACTTGGAGATTCTGAGAACTCGTCATACCGGCTTTACCAACGAAGCTTTCGACTCAAATGAGTTTAATAGCTCGAGCTGTCTCGCCATCGGGTGGGGTCATCTTTCACGCGTTTGGACGGTCCGCTTTCTCGAAGCATCGCCATGCAATGGATCACTGTTGCTCCAGTCTGCCGGTGAAGATGCAACTGCAAGGACGTGGGAACTTACGCCAAACCCCGGAAGTAGCACGAGCTTTCCTTACAGGTTGCTAGAACTTGACTGCACCGCGCATCATAGCGGGAAGAACTTGTGGTCGAGTGTTGTTTCCAATGACTCAACAGGAATACAGCAGGTTATTGCAGGTGGCGCTGATAGTAAAGTCACCGCTTCCCCGTTATTGCGCATCCTGCAGGCAGAGAAGAACTTACGTGGTGCGATCGCTGAGTATACTGTACACGACATATTATCATGGGCGCGAGTGGCCGAGCCTGATCCAAACAGGCCTGAATTTGTGGACGGTCCAAAGTTTCCAAGGAAAGCAGAGTTCTTCAGGAGCTATTGCTTTGTCGATGAAACCTCATTTCTGCTTACTACTAACTCTGGAAACGTACTTATCGGCGCCATTTCGTCCAGGACAGCCCCATGTCAATCAAGCCTCCTTTCAGACTCAAAGTTACTCGATGAACTGAAAGATCTTTCTGGTTATTCTGTCTGCACGAGTGGCTGCCGTCCTGGTTTCGCTTACATCGCTGGTAGTAGCGGCAACATCTACGTGTACAGTAAGGAGTCTAATACCCTGGCAAATCTGCATGCCATTGGTAGCAAAGTCGGAGACATCTTCGCTGTGGAGGTATCAAACACGGATGGTCCAAATACGGCGGCATTACTTGTGACCCTTGTTGGTCAAGGTGAAGCGCAATTGCTATACGTGGACCCTGATAGCAACACGAACGTTCTGAGAGTTGTGCAGATACCCATTGCAGAATCTTCGACCGGTTCGGTCATCACGAGTATGACTTATGCAAGAATAACCGGGAGAGACATTCTCATCATTGGGTTCCGTCAGGGTTCGATCGCACTGTATGAAATCCGTAAAGGTGAGGGGGTTACGGATGTTGCTATCTTGCTACGGATCATTGAGAAAGCACACGGTGCGGAAGCAGTCACTTCTCTTACATGGTGTCCCTCATCTGGAGGCTCCTTAGGCTCCGTACACGGCCATCTGTTCTCCGTAGGAAGAGATGGGCGTCTCAGCGTACACCAGTTCGATGCATCTGCAAACGTTGTCGAGCTGGTGCATGATCTTGCGGTACCATTCGGACCAAACATTGAAGGTTTATACTTCCAGGACGACCATCTCCTCATACACGGCTTCTCAAGCAAGAAATGGTATCTCTACGATGTCACTAGCGAAGAGCAAGTCATGAGCATCGAAACCGGAGGAGCGCATAGAAGTTGGGCCTTCCGGTCACATTCGTCGCTAGGAGGTATCCTAGTATGGACTCGAGCCTCTAGTATGCATATATGCAGTCAAAACAGACCGAATCATACTGTCGTTCGACGAGGGGGTCATGGACGTGAGATCAAGGCGGTCGCAGTTGCATTGGAGATGAACGGTAGATCTCACCCGCTCATCGCCACAGGCGCTGAGGATACCGATATCAAGATTTTCCGCCATGTTGATCATGATCTGATATGCCAAAGGACTATTCGCAAGCACACCACGGGGATTCAGCACCTACAATGGTCGCAAGACGGTGACTATCTTTTCAGCAGCGGTGGCTGTGAAGAATGTAAGGTTTGGGTACAACGCTGCAAAGCTGCTGCTGACTTCTTTCACAGTCTATGTATGGCGGATCCGGGACTTACCCGCCTCCGCTCTTGACATTGGAGTCGTGTGCGAACATGTGTACACGCCAGAAAGTGAGCACGCAGATTTGAGACTCATGTCTTTCGATGTGACCACATCGGGATCCGCACATACTATCACGATGGTGTTCTCAGATTCCAGCATCAAGGTGAGCTGATCTCCGTATTCTCAATGTAGCATGGCGCTGATTTGACAAGATCTATCGTTATGATCCTGCCGCTACTGTCACATGGCAGCCTCTTGGAAAGGGTCTCTACTTTACATCCTGTTTGACACAGTGCATGTTCCTCTCTAGAGAAAAGGTCTTGACAGCTGGTACCGATGGCCATATTGTAGTATGGCCGCTAATGGCAGAAACCGAAGGATCGCGTGGAAGATCCACTGGGTCAAATGATCATTTGACATGGCAGCATCCGGCAAGGATACATCAAAGCTCATCAAAAGCCATGACATCCCGAGCCATTAGTGCGGATACCTGGCTCATCGTATCCGGTGGTGACGATGGCAGTCTGGCGTGTGTACTCGCACAGTCTACGTCTTTGCCGTCGTCGACTTCGCCTACGACAACCCATGTTCCGCCACCCATCCTCGTCAGTCGCGCACATGGCTCTGCAGTAACGTCGTGCGCTCTCTTCAGACATAAATCACACATTTTCCTCGTCACATCAGGAAATGACGAGTGGATCAGATTGTGGCGGATTGTACTGCGAAAGGCAAACTCCGAAGCTGGAGCTGAAACTGCAGCACATCATGAAGGCGCTCTGACGGTCCAGAGAATAAATAGAATCAAGACCAATGTTGCAGATGCGTCGAGTATGGCGGTGCTTGATGAAGGCAATGGTGGTGGCGATGCGAGGGTGCTGGTCTGTGGAGTGGGCATGGAAGTCATACGTATAGCTTTGAATGGGTGATAGACAATCGATAGGCATGATGGTCATTCGTCCGCACCCAAGTGTCTGCTGCTGTGAGTTTGCACAGGGGCGATTGGCGGCCAAGCGATCCATGGATTGTTGCTGGAGCAACGCGTGTCCCGATGCGGCTAGTCGTCGTTCGCGCTTTGACAACACAACACGGCAAGCACGTCCACAACCTCGACTGAACCAGTCTCACCCCAGACCGACGACGACATACCACCAAGACAGCGAACATCGACAGACATCATGGTTGCTACACGTCGCGGTGCGAAAACCGCCCCAGAGGTCGCCTCTGCACCCCCCAACACGCTCAACGCCCCTCCCAAGCGCGGCAGGAAGAAGGCAGTCGAGGAAGCTGCTGAGCCAGCGCCTGCCCCGGCCAAACCCACAAAGACAACTGCTGTGAAACGCAAAGCCAGGGCTGAGCCTGAGGATGCTGAGCCGCCCATGGCCAAGAAGACTGTTGCGACAAAGGCCGCGCGCACCATCAAGGTCCAGACCAGAGCCGCACCCGCCCCTGCTCCAGCAGTGAGGGCGACGCGTGGTCGCAAAGCCGAGGAGCCTGCCGCTACAGAGGAGCCCGAAGCCATTGAAGAGGCCCCGAAGCCAACAGCCGCCCGTACGCGCAAGATCGCAGCAGTGAAAAAGGCACCTGTACCCAAGGTCGAGAAGCCTGCTGTCGCCCCAGAGCCTGCCGTCGAAGAAACTGCCAAGCCAGCATCAAGAGCTGTACGCAAAGCACCCGCAAAGAAGACACCCGTTTCCAAGAAGAGCGAGCCTGCATTTGTCGACAAGACCGTCGCCAGCGAGCCTGCTAAGCCAGCTCCCCGTACACGCAAAGCAGCAGTGCCAAAAGCCTCCGCACCCGCACCCGTCATTGTACCGAGAGCCACACGCGGTCGTAATGCCCCTGCAGTCCCACAGGAGTCGCCGCTCAAGGCTCCGGCCCGCAAGCTCACAAAGAAGGCTGCTGTTGTCACTAAGGCGAAGTCTGAGCCAGAGCCGGCCGCTCAAACAGTCGAGGAGCCTGTTGCGGAGATCATCGAGCAATCTGTTGTAGAGGCAGATGAACATGCAGTCATGGAAGAGGTGGAGCAGCCTGTCGTGGAGGCAATCGAGAAACCGTTCGCAGATTTCCCTACCTACCCGACAACCCCCTCCCACATCACTGCCCCCATGACCTCAAGAGAGGCCATCGCCGAGCTTCCCGGCTACCCCACGACTCCCTCGCATATCCTCGCACCTTTGTCGAACAAGGCCGCTCTTACCGAACTCGCAGGATATCCCACGACACCTGCGCATATTGCTGCACCTGTCGCAATCGCTACACCCGAGGTTCAGGCCGAAATCATCGAGCAAGGGTATAATGATGTCGCCATGAGCGATGTTGAGGAGAAAGAAGCAGTCGACCAGATTGAGGCTTGTCATACTTCTACAGCTGCAGAGAGCGCGGTCGAGGCCACAATAGAAGTGCCAGAGGGCCCTCAGCTCGTCGAGAATCCGCACATTGTTGAAGAATCTGACTGCCAGGGCCGCCAGACTACGGCCGATGTCTCCTTGACACCGGATGCAAAGACCCAGGTATCGGTCCAGCTAAAGACACCATACTATGATGCGACGCCCGCCCAGCGTTCGTGTTCGGAGATTTCTGGCACTCCACCTGCACAGATCGTCTGGGGCGTCACCGATCAGGAAGCATTCGAGGAGCTTCCTGAGGCGTACCCTGCCACACCCGCCCACATCATCGCGCCCATTACCTCCAAAACAGCACTGGCCGAACTCCCGGGTTACCCCAAAACACCAGCTCATATCAGCGCGCCTGTGACCTCCAAGGCAGCATTGGCCGAGCTCCCCGATTACCCCAAAACACC